CCAGGCATGATAGAGCCAGGCATGATTCAGCAAGGCATGATTGAGCCAGGCATGATCAAGCTTGGCATGATACAGCCAAGCATGATTCAGTCTGGCATGGCTCAGCCACCCATGATTCAGCCAACCAGGTATGATCCAGCCAGGCATGATTCACGTATGAATGATTCAGCGAGGCATGATTCAGCCAGGCATGACTCATTCAGGAATGATTTATCCTGGCATGATTCAGCCAGACATGATTCAGCGAGGCATGATTCAGTCAGGCATGATTCAGCCAGGCATGATTCAGCCAGGCATGATTCAGCCATGCGTGATTCAGCCATGCATGATTCAGCCAGGCATGATTCAGCCAGGCATAATTCGGCCATGCATGATTCAGTCAGGAATGATACAGCCAGGCATGATTCAGCCAGGCATGATTCAGCCAGACATAATTCAGCCAGGCATGATTCAGCCAGAAATGATTCAGCCTAGTGGCATGATTCAGCCAAGCATGATTCAGCCACGAATAATTTAGCCAGGAATGATTCAGCCAGGAACAATTCAGCTAGGAATGATTCAGCCATGCGTGATACAGCCAGGCATGATTCAGCCAGGCATGATTCAGCCAGGCATGATTCAGCCAGAAATGATTCAGCCTGGCATGACTTAGCCATGCGTAATTCAGCCAGGCATGATTCAGTCAGACATGATTCAGCCAGGCATGATACAGCCAGGCAAGATTCAGCCAGGCATGATTCAGTCAGGCATGATTCAATAAGGCATGATTCAGTTAGGCATGATTTAGACAGGCATGATTCAATTAGACATGACTCAGTCAGGCATGATTTAGACCGGCATGATTCAGCCAGGCATGATTCAGCCAGGCATGATTCAGCCAGGCATGATTCAGTCAGGCATGATTCAGCCAGGCATGATTTAGCATGGAATGATTCAGCCTGGCATGATTCAGTCATGCGTGATTCAGCCAGGCATGATTTAGCTAGGCATGATTCAGCCAGGTATGATTCAGCCACGCATGATTCAGCCAGGCATGATTTAGTCAGGCATAATTCAGCCAGGCATGATTCACTCGAGAATGATTCAGGCAAGCATGATTCAGCCAAGCATGATTCAGTCAGGCATGATTCAGCCAGGCATGATTCAGTCAGGCATGATTCAGCCAGGCATGATTCAGCCAGGCATGATTCAGCCAGGCATGATTCAGCCAGGCATGATTCAGTCAGGCATGATTCAGTCAGGCATGATTCAGCCAGGCATGATTCAGCCAGGCATGATTCAGCCAGGCATGATTTGGCCAGGCATGATTTAGCCATGCATTATTCAGTCAGGCATGATACAAGCAGGCATGATTCAGCCAAGCATGATTCAGCCTGGCATGATTCAGCCAGGTATGACTCATTCGGGCATGATTTAGCCAGGCATGATTCAGCCAGGCATGATTCAGTCAGGCATGATTCAGCCATGTGTGATTCAGTAAGGCATGATTCAGCCAGTCATGGTTCAGCCAGTCATGATTCAGCCAGGCATGATTCAGCCAGGTATAATTCATTCGGGCATGATTTATCCAGGCATGATTCAGCCAGGCATGATTCAGTCAGGCATGATTCAGCTGTGTGTGATTCAGTAAGGCATGATTCAGCCAGTCATGATTCGGCCAGGAATGATTCAGCCAGGCATGATTCAGCCAGGCATGATTCAGCCAGGTATAATTCATTCGGGCATGATTTAGCCAGGCATGACTCAGCCAGGCATGATTCAGTGAGGCATGATTCAGCCATGTGTGATTCAGTAAGGCATGATTCAGCCAGTCATGATTCAGCCAGGAATGATTCAGCCAGGTATGATTCAGCCAGGCATGATTCAGCCAGGCATGGTTGAGTCATGTATGATTCAGCCATGCGTGATTTAGTCAGGCATGAATCAGCCAGGCATAATCAGCCAGGCATGATTAAGCCAGGCATGATTCAGCCAGGCATGATTCAGCCAGGCATAATTCGGCCATGCATAATTCACTCAGGCATGATTCGGCCAGGCATGATTTAGCCAGGCATGATTTGGCCAGGCATTATTCGGCCAGGCATTACTCAGTCAGTCATGATTCAGCCAGGCATGATTCAGCCAGGCATGATTCAGCCAGGCATGATAGGCAGGAATCAGTCAGGCATAATTCAGTCAGGCATGATTCAGCCAGGCATAATTCAGCCAGGCATGATTCAGCCAGGCATGATTTGGCCAGGCATGATTTAGCCATGCATAATTCAGTCAGGCATGATACAAGCAGGCATGATTCAGCCAAGCATGATTTGGCCAGGCATTATTCGGCCAGGCATTACTCAGTCAGTCATGATTCAGCCAGGCATGATTCAGCCAGGCATGATTCAGCCAGGCATGATAGGCAGGAATCAGTCAGGCATAATTCAGTCAGGCATGATTGAGCCAGGCATAATTCAGCCAGGCATGATTCAGCCAGGCATGATTTGGCCAGGCATGATTTAGCCATGCATAATTCAGTCAGGCATGATACAAGCAGGCATGATTCAGCCAAGCATGATTCAGCCTGGCATGATTCAGTCCGGCATGATTCAGTCAGGAATGATTCAGTCAGGAATAATTCAGCCATGCGTGATTCAGCCAGGCATGATTCAGCCAAGCATAATTCGGCCATGCATAATTCACTCAGGCATGATTCAGCCAGACATGATTCAGCCAGGCATGATTCGGCCAGGCATGATTCAGTCAGGCATGATTCAGTTAGGCATGATACAGCCAGGTATGATTCAGCCAGGCATGATTCAGCCAGGCATGATTCAGCCAGGCATGATTCAGCCAGGCATTATTCGGCCAGGCATTACTCAGTCAGTCATGATTCAGCCAGGCATGATTCAGCCAGGCATGATAGGCAGGAATCAGTCAGGCATGATTCAGTCAGGCATAATTCAGCCAGGCATAATTCAGCCAGGTCTGATTCAGCCAGGCATGATTTGGCCAGGCCATGCATTATTCAGTCAGGCATGATACAAGCAGGCATGATTCAGCCAAGCATGATTCAGCCTGGCATGATTCAGTCCGGCATGATTCAGTCAGGCATGATTCAGCTAGGTATCATTCATTCGGGCATGATTTAGCCAGCCATGATTCAGTGAGGCATGATTCAGCCAGGCATGGTTCAGTCTGTATGATTCAGCCATGCGTGATTCAGTCAGGCATGAATCAGCCAGGCATGATTCAGCCAGGCATGATTCAGCCAGGCATGATTCAGCCAGGCATGATTCAACCAGGCATGATTCAGCCAGGCATTCTTCAGTCAGGCATGATTCAGTCAGGAATGATTCAGCCATGCGTGATTCAGCCAGGTATGATTCAGCCAGGCATGATTCAGCCAGGCATGATTAATTCGGGAATGATTCAGCCAAGCATGATTCAGCCAAGCATGATTCAGTCAGGCATGATTCAGCCAGGCATGATTCAGTCAGGCATGATTCAGCCATGCGTGATTCAGCCATGCGTGATTCACCCAGGCATGATTCAGCCAGGCATAATTCGGCCATGCATAATTCAGTCAGGCGTGATTCAGCCAGGCATCATTCAGCCAGGCATGATTCGGCCAGGCATGATTCAGTTAGGCATGATTCAATTAGGCATTTTTCAGTCAGGCATGATTCAGTCAGGCATTATTCAGTCAGGCATGATTCATTTAGGCATGATTCAGCCAGGCATGATTCAGCCAGGCATGATTCAGCCAGGCATGATTCAGCCAGGCATTATTCGGCCAGGCATTACTCAGTCAGTCAAAATTCAGCCAGGCATGATTCAGCCAGGCATGATTCAGCCAGGCATGATTCAGCCAGGCATGATTTGGCCAGGCATGATTTAGCCATGCATTATTCAGTCAGGCATGATACAAGCAGGCATGATTCAGCCAAGCATGATTCAGCCTGGCATGATTCAGCCAGGCATGATTCAGCTAGGTATCATTCATTCGAGCATGATTTAGCCAGGCATGATTCAGTGAGGCATGGTTCAGTCTGTATGATTCAGCCATGCATGATCCAGTCAGGCATGATTCAGCCAGGCATGATTTATCCATGCGTGTTTCAGCCAGGCATGGTTCAGCCACGTATAATTCTCCCTCTTAAACCCCCAACTCCTCTCATTCCCCCTACTCCTCCCATCCCCCCCATTTGCCTCATTCCACCTGTGCTTCCACACCAATTCGGCTCATTCCCTCCTGGTGCTACACCAGGAGGGAAAGCCAACATTCACCAAACTCAGAGCCTCCTGCAGTCACCGTTTTGTTTTCTCCCCTGAATTTCTTTCAATGCCAGCTGCAGTTCCACCGCCATCTGTCTTAGAGCTCTGTCCCACTCAGGTCACTGCCATGCCGTTGCAATCTGATCTGAGTAAACGTGTTTTGATGCTCTTCTTGCTTTCTGCCCTTGCACCTTCTATCCTCAGCTGCGTTCACTCCCATCATGTCTCTGCCATGTTATGGCAAGGCAGCTCATGCACTCGCGATGCTGTTGAAAATTTCTGTTATTGTTGTCAAGGGTATGGACGCAAAATGCTTGTGAGATGTTCGCATTGTCATATAATCCTGTGGACTAGAGTTTTTAGTGTTATGGCTTGTTTTGCCTAAAATACACTTAAGCACAACATAATGATAAGTCAGATTTCAAATATTCTGGGTGAGGAGTGGGTGAGGAGAGGGTGAGGAGGGGGTAAGGACTGGGTGAGGATTACCTGCGAGTGACGGTAGAAAGGATGTGGACCGCGAGTGGGAGAGGTATGTGGATGGCATGGCTTGGATTCTGGAGCATGGAGGGGGGGAAGGGAGGGTGTTCAGGTGCAGCCATTGCAGTGAGGGGGAAAGCAGCAGCAGCAGCAATTGCAGTGGTAATGGCAGCAGCAGCAGCAGCAGCAGCCGCAGCAACAGCAGCAGTGGCGGCAGAATCAGCAGTGTGGGCAGTGGGATGGAATGCAGGGATACTCCCAAGGGCATGTATGTGAGTGGCGTGGATGCCACTGACTTCGCTTTGGCTGTGGCGTCAGTGTACTCACGGCTAGAGACTCGCAAGGGCGAGGACTGTTTCTGCATCGATGCCAGCAACCCCAAGCAGACCCGCGTGGAGGCTGCTGCGATTGCGGAGGCCAGGAATAGAGTGAGACGTGCGGGGCTGGAATGTGGGATGAGTGAGAGAGTAGGAGGGGCAGGAGGGGCAGAAGGGGCAAGAGGAGCAGGAGGAGCGGCGTCTGATGCCACTCAAGTGCCTGTGACCAGCTCAGGGCTCGTGCCTGTCAACACCAACCCAGCTGTTGCTGTCGTGACGCATCAGGTTGGCTGTATCTTGCAGTGGGCCCGAATCTACGGCTCAAATACTACATTAGAGAAGAAGTGCTTCAAGGACAGCCCACAGGGGAAGGTCCTGCCCATGCGCCATCCACTTCGATACCTACCGAGCCAGCTTCTCAGGTTCGGCGCCATCCCTGAGCCTCTGGACGGAAGGAGCTTCTCCTTGGAGTGGGAGGAGTGGCCTCGGGGCGAGGAAGCTGCTCTGAAGTTTCCCGACGACCCCAGCGCGAGATGCTTTGGCCTGGGGATTCTGGAAGACGATGGGGGGAGAGAGGAGGAGAGTAAGAAAAAGCTCCCTGCCCAATCATCCAAGGCAGGGGGTAGGAGGAGGGATCGAAGGAACAGAGGGCGTGGGGGAGGGCAGGGAGGCACGAAGAACACGAGCACTCTCACACGCACTCCCACACCTCTTCCTACCACTAGCCACTGTCCCATCGTTCGCTGTCTTGCAGACGTGGAGTGCATTTCGGAGTTCGCTGCTGCCATGCTCACCCCACCGGACTGCTCCGAGTGCAAGAGATGCATCAAGTGCTACACCTCCCACATCCCCTTTGTCACCCTCGTTGCCAACTTCGCCTACCGCCCCGCCAGCGTGCTGTTCTACCGCTTCCTCTCCGCCTTCCTGCCGCACTCCAAGGAGTTCAACAACCTCGTCCGCATCCTGGGCCTGGACCCCTTACCCATGGGCGCCTCTCTGGAGGAAGAGAGGGAGAATCTCGAGCGCGTGCGGGAACAGGCAGAGCGTGTGCCCGTGGCGCTGCTGCTCTGCATTGCTCTGAGGTGGGCCCGCCCCGTTCTCGTCCCCGGCGGGTTTGAGAAGGACGGTACCCGGAGGCCACTGGAGGGGCTAGGGTGGGTTGGAGGAGGGAGGTTCTGGAGCTCGGGGGGCTTTGGGGTTGGCATAAGTGGTGAGGAGGATTGCTGGGATGACGGAGAGGTGTGGGCGGAGGTGTGGTCGTGGTGCGGTGCGGCGATGCTTGCATGGCCGGCTTATGTGTCGGGGGCAGTGAGACATGCCGAGGCAGGCGGGAAGGGAAGGCGAGTGAGCCGTTGAGCCCCGAGGCGGTGTATGATCTCTGCCGTGGGACTGCCCAGGTGCGGTACCGTGGAGACATGGAGGCGCAGGGTGGATCTGCCGAAGGATGTGGCAGCAACAGGAGCAGCAGCAAGGGCAGCAGCAAGAGCAGCAGCAGCGGAGGCAGTGGTAGCAGCAGTAGCGGCAGTGAGAAGAAGGGCAAGAAGGGGGAGGAGCCGGCTTACCTGAAGGCATGGCCGGGGGGAGTCAATCTGGTGGCATGTCTGCGAGAGATGCTGCTGGGGGAGCCGTGCTACCGCCCTGCCTCCCCTGCTGCCTCTTCCACCCCTGCTGCTGGCAGCACATGTACTGGGCAGAACAGCACTGCCAGTGGTATTGCAGTATCTGGAGGCTCGGTCAGGCAGAGGCAAGTCAACACAAGAGGGTGAGGCTCTGCTGGTTCCAAAGGGCTTGTGTGCGGTGCTCTGGGATGCGAGATGGCGGAGGGTGGCGGTGTGGAGCTTGGGAGGTGCGGTGGGTGTGGCAAGGTGGCGTATTGCAGCAGAGAGTGCCAAAAGGCGCACTGGCCCTCCCACAAGCTCACATGTGTGCAAAGCCGAGTCCAGCAGCATGGTGAGTGGGAAGGACTTTTTCTGTGTGTGAGGTCAAGAGCTAGAACAGTGACATGGTGTGGCAAGGTAAGGTTCTACTAACGACTGAGGGGCATCGTGGGGCTAAGTGTCAACAAGGCATTTGCCATTTCAAACGCTGGTGTTTAGGCACAAAATGAGTGCCCGGGCAGGCAAAAAAAGATCCGGCATGGACAAAAAAGGGTTCCCACAGAAGAGGCGGGGGAGGGGAGAGGAAGGAGGGTGGGGGGAGTTAGGCTGCAACAGGATTCTAGAAGGTAGGAACTTCGAGGCCTGTGTTTTACGTTCACGGAATCGATGGGAGTTGTACGGTTCTCTTTTTAGTATAGTTGGGGAGCGGGATTATTTGGGTTGGCAGGAGGTTTTATGAAGGCAAAACATCTAACAAGCAACTTTGCAAACCTGTTGGCTGTTTGTGCGAAATTACGTGTATCTACCTAAGGTACTCCAAACTTACAGCAGCTGTTTTTTCCAGGCGTTTGGGGCGTTGCATACAAAAGCTAAATGCTTGGTTGGACGTGCGTATGTGGTCACTCATGAGGTTATTTGCAAGGTTGTACAGGCCCTGGGCATCGTATTTGGAATCGGTTGGAGTCGTCCCATGTGCTGCTTACTGTTCAAGGCGCCTCAAGTATCGCCCCCTGTGCTGCTTGCCGTTCGATACACCTCTATTATCGCTCCATGTGCTGCTTGCTTTTCTGTCTTCCCCATCGGTGGCAGCTGTCAGGAGTTTCGGGGTTCGTGAGTCTACTCGTGGCCGTATTCCTGCTGTGGTACCTGCTGTGGTCGCGTGACTGAGGTTGGTAGCTGCTCTTGTTACCTAGGTTGTTCCCATGCCTCCTGTGCCATGGTTTCGCTCTCTCCCGAGTTTGCCCCTCTCCGTCTTCCCTTGCCCTTTTTTACTCTGTGGGTACGAAAGGCATTGTCACAAAGTATTGTTCGTTCCATGCAATTCGCTTGGTCGGCGCCAGCAACACCCCTCCTGCCAGCGTCATGAGCTTTGTGGATTCCTTTCGGTGAATGTCTATGTAGCAGATGGACGCACTTGCATGCAAAACAACCTACTGGCAACAGGTGGTTGCCCGGCATGACCTCATTGCATTCCTTCCCCGCCGCAGGCTTCTGCCTCTTCATTCTTCCTGACTTGTTTTGTTTTGTTTTTTTTTTTGGCAGCTTCTCAAACCTCTCAATGAGGCACATGGTCCTTCAAATGGAATGGAAGTTTGTTTATTGCGAATGAGTTTTCACACGCCGGTTACTACTATTGTTTGTGCCCCTGCCGCATGCACCATTTCTCAAACCGAACTCCTGGTGTGGTGGTTTCGAATCCGGGGATAGGCGGTAGTCGTACCGTGTTGGAAAACAAATATGGCACACACACATCATCTCCGAGAGAACATCAACAACCACGGCGCACCACAGAATCAACTTCCATTCGCGCGAAATACACCGACACAGAGCCCGCATACAGCCGTCCACCGGTGGCCTTAAGCTCACTGATGAGGCGGTTCCAGTTGGAGCCCAGCGCCCCCACAAAGAAAGCCGCCTGCGATGAGATGAGCAGGTTGGCCAGGCTGATCCCTGCCAGCTTGGCCACTACACTCCTGTCCTCTGCTCGTACTCAAAGATGGATGTTGTGCCGTTCTGCCGGAGGTTTGTGGAGTAGAGGAAGGCCCAGTCCTTGTATTGCTGTGACTGGTCTATCACGTGCCAAAACATATTTATGTGTTCTTAGTTCTGCTAGGCTACAATTGGGAATTGGAAACAAGTAATTTAAAGCGCTTCTGATGTGTCAAAACACCGAATCGTATAGAAGCGAACTACAACGGAGCATTGGCGAGTCAACCAAGGAGGTTGACAAAATGGTAACAGCCGGAGGTTACGCGAAGGTCAAAGGTCGCTGACCTTTGACTCGACAAATACAGCGCGACAGCAAGGACACACAACTGACTCGCTATTGAGCAGTTGCCCGAGTCGTCACTGTATCAAACCGCAACAGCAACAGTAAAACGGTTATTAGCTGTATCTCTTCATATTCCTTGTACTCTTATAAAACCTTGTATCTTCTTGTTTAAATCAATCTACTTTGCCCTCACATTCACAGCGCAAGGTGGTTCAACCCTTATTATTAAAACGCTTCCGCAATTACATTGTTCCTACCTAGAGTTTAGCCTTGCAAAGATCCTAAGGGCTTTTTTGTGAAAACTAAGAGGCAAGAATGATTGGATTGAAAGAAGCAAGGGTACAAATAGGAAACCCTAGTTGGGGTTGTACCCCATATTGGCTACCCCACTACAGCCTACAAGTATATAGCACATTTATACTTTGACACACCCCCATAGGCAAAGTGGGGGAGAGCAAGGGGTCACAAGACCAGTCAAAGCAAAGCACAGCAAGCTCAGGGTGGATCACAATGTCACCACACTCTCTGAGCACAAGCAAAGGCCACAAGGCCAGTTCACATGCAAAGTTATATAGAAGAACACAAGTAGTACAGTGATCAAAGCCTAGCAAGTGCAAGCATGCAAGGACATATATATAGATCACAGTACAAACAAAGTCAAGAAGTAAGCAAGTGAGAGAACGTGGACACAAGGCCTAATGCTGTGCAGTGCCGCTGATGATCACAAGGCGGAAGCGCATTGGTGAATATATCAGCAGTGTTGGCCTTCGAGTCCACGTACGCAAGGCGAAGCTGACCACGCTGCTGCAACTCTCGAGCCAGAAAGTAACGGAGAGCAATGTGCTTCGTTCTGTGCTCCAGTCTGTGCTCCTGACATAAGGCAAGAGCTGCCTTGTTGTCGCCGTACAGAACTGGAGGAGAACGAGGCCGCTCACCCAGGTCAGTCAGCAGGTAGGTGAGCCAGCGTAGCTCCTGTGCAGCCATAGCCGTGGCGTAGATCACAGCCTCACAACTGGAGCTGAGAACAGAGGAAGAGCCAAGGCTGAAAGTGTAACCCTGTGACGACCGCTGCGTAGCCAAGCCGTCGACCCAAGAGGCGTCTGAATGTCTAGTGAGGACAACCGAGCCCTGTCCTCCAACCCATGCCTGATGTACTGCACAAGTAGCGCAGCACCCTCTTAGCAGCCTCCCAGTGCTCTCGCCTGTGTCTCCCAGGCGCAACGTAGCGAGCTAGGATGCTAAGAGGGTACGCAAGGTCAGGTCGAGTGCAGGTCATCAGGTACATGAGACAGCCCACAAGCTCTGGATACGGGCCACTCGGCTCTATGGACTCGTCCGAAGGTGGAGCTGAGAGCGAGTGGCTGGTAGACAGAGGAGTGGACTGAGGTGAGGAGAACTGGAAGCCGAAGTGCTGAAGGACCTGCTGCACCATGTGTGACTGAGTTAGGGTGATGGTGCGGCGTGCTCTGTCCCGGGTGATCTGCAAGCCAAGGTAACTGCGCAGCTCACCCAAGTCTGTGCACGTGCGTCTCTTCTGCAGCTCCGACTTCACAAGAGCAAGTGCCTCAGTGTCAGCAGTAGCAAAGACCAAGTCGTCGACGTACAGGAGGATGTAGAACGGCGGCAGCGACGTGTCTGTGCGCAGGAACAGTGAAGGGTCTGCAGTGGAGGGAGCAAACCCAAGAGCCGCAAGTGTCGTCCTCAGTGTGTCGTGCCACTCACGTGGCGCCTGGCTGAGACCGTAAACTGGCCGTCGGAGGCTCCACTGGGTACCAGGAGGGAAAGACCCAGTGAAGCCAGGAGGACGGCGCAGCCAGATCTCCTCGTGCAGGCTGCCCTGCAATTAAGCCGTGCTGAAGTCAAGAGAGTGAAGCTCGTAGTCACGCTGAGCGGCAACGTGCAGCAGCACCCGAAGAGTGGTCATCTTCGGGGTAGGGGAGAAGGTCTAGAAGAAGTCAACTCCCTGACGCTGACTGAAGCCTCGGGCAACGTAACGAGCCTTGAAGACAGGCGGAGAACCCGGCGGCCGCTTCACCCTGAAAATCCACATGCCATCGACGATGTTCGCCCCAGGGGGGGAACCTCGTCGACGTAAGTGCCTGTGGACTTCTAGGATGCCATCTCTGCGTCCATGGTTGTCTGCCACTGAGAGGAGTAGGGACCCGAGACCGCCTCTGTGTAAGAGCGGGGGGTAGGGATGTCAAGTGCATCCGGGTCTCCCTCAAGGGCAAGCAGCCAGGCCGTGAGATGAGGTACAGCAGCCGCAAGACAGTCAAAGTCCTCCTGCCTGTCCTCAAGGACGTCCGTGCTAAGAGCACACTCACCCCCGACGGACGGAGGACAGACAGACGCAGACTCAGCAACGAGACTAGCAGCGTAGTCTAGACGACAGGCAGCAGCAAAGTCCACAAGCTCAGCGACCAAGGCAGACGCAACAGCAGACTCAAACGACGGGTCGGTGACAACAGTGGCTAACAGACGCGTGA